TTTTGTTTTGTTTTTGTTTTTATTATTTTGTTTTTAGTTTTTTTTTTTTTAAATATTATTTTACTGATATTTTTAATTTTTTTATAAATGAACATATAATGAAGCAGAATTAGATAGAAAATTTATAATTTAATACTTTTACCGTTTTCTTAAAATATTTTTGATTTTTTTTTTTTTTATTGTAGTAATTTATCATTATTATAAGATCAATAAAAAGAAGACATTATTTTTTTAATTATTTCCTTTTTTTTTTTTTTAAATAGAGTTATATTGAAACTACATTATAAAAATATAATTTTTTTCTATAAACTAACAAATAACTTTAATTATAAAGAAATGTAAATCTTGAATAATAGAAAAATATAGAAATTTCTAATTTAAAAAAAAAAATAAAAATAAAAATTTAAAAAAAGATAAATGGAAAATAAAGACGAAATGTAATTATAATAGAATATAAAATCTCCTAATTTTTTGTTAAATAACATCATAATAAATGCATAATACAAATTAAAATAAATGAGTTAAAAAATAATGTACTAAAATTATTAAAAATATCTATATTCTATTTATAAATAATAACAATAGCAATAATAAAATTACTACTAAGTAATAAACTGTCTTTTTTTAACAAAATTTATGTTTTGAAAAAAAAAAAAAAAATTTAACAATGGATAAAAAAATTGAATTATTAATAAATACAATAAAGGATTGGACAATAAAGTAATTAAAAATAAAAAAAAAATAAAAAAAATAAAATCATTTTTTTTTTTTTTTTTTCTTTCTCTTAACAACCCAGATATGCATACAAAATTTATGTTAAAGGAAAAAACGAAGAAAAAAAAGAATATTAGTAAATATAATATTAATCCTTTTGCAATTTCAAAATAATAAAAATTTTTTTTTTTTTTTTTTTTTCCCCCCGAATAAACAGTTATACTGTTACATTTTTTCATCAAAAGGTAAATGAGTCTATTTCAAAATGCACTATAAATGTAAATTTTGTAATAACAGAAATAGAATTAATAGATCTTAATAATTTAGATACATATCATAATTCCAATGAAAAATATTTTATAACATTTAAATTTGAAAATGAAAATCTAACAAGAACTCTAGATATGAATTTAAACTATGAAGCGTGGATAGATAAGTATATCATAAAAAAAAAAAAAATATGAAATGTTTATGTATGATTTATTAAAAAAAAAAAAAAAAAAATTTATATATATGTTATAATTAAAACTTATTTTTACTTCTTATTAATTTCAGATTAATAAAAGATAAAGAAAAGCTAAGAAACAAGATAGATTTATCATCAGAGTTATTAGAAATTATTCAAATCTATAGATTAAAAATATAATATACATTTTTTTTTTTTATCATTCTTTTTTTATTTAGATATATGAAAACTAGATTTATTAAACCTATTGATGAAGAAAATATTCAAATAATTCTAAATAAAATTAAAGGGGAAAGAGAAGAAATTAGAAAAAAAAATGAAGAACAAAAAGAGTTAAAAGAAAAAAAAGAGAACAAATTAAATAAAATAAAGTTGTATGAAGAAACACATGAATTAGAAAAAATTAATTCTAAACATGATTCAAACACTTCTCATGGAAATAAAGAATTTGAAAAAGGAATTAAGAAAAATGAAGAAAATCAATATTTAAATGAAGTACTGTCTTTTTTAAGAAATATTTTATATTTTTATTTTATAGATATAGATATTAAAAAAAAAGGTAGAAATAAAATTTAAAAAAAAAGAGAAAATCATTTTTTTTTTTTTTTTAATATAATAATATTTAAATATTTATCTATTATTATTAAAAATATGTTGTTTTTGTTTTTAAGGAAAATTGATATATAATTATTATACTGAAATTTTAAAAATGGTTAATTATAAGATATGTATAAGTTATAAACATTTAGAAAATTCCTTAAATGAAAGAGAAGATAAAGAAGATGAATTTTCAAATATGTCCGAAAATTTTTTTTTCTATGAATCAGATAATGTATTGTATTCTAGTACTAATGATAGTTCAAACGAAGAAAATATAGTTACACAAAATATGAAAAAAAAAAAAAATGCAAAAGATGAAAAAAAATATATCTCAAATTTATTTAATATTAATAATAAAGAAGTTAATCTAATTAAAGATATTAATATTTATAAAAATGATAATTTTAATGGAAGTAATATATTTTTTGAGCCATTAAACAAATCAATAATTAATTCTGAATTATTCATTTTTGATAAATATAATGAATATAATAAGTATATATTTACTGATAATTACTATGATTTTTTATTATATATATCATATGCGGATGAAGAAGAAAAAGGATGTATAAATTATAATGATTATATAAATAATTTACCAGAATATTTATACGAATTAAATAGGAATAGAGAATATTTTAATGTAATCAGTATAGATGACTTAGTTTTGTACAAGCAATTTATATATGTCTGTTATGAAAATGAATTAAATTTTATGTATGATTGTTTTTTAAATGAATTTAAGAAATTTGATGTTAGTGATAGTGGATATATTCATCGTAATCAATTAAAAAAAATTCTTCAAGAAAATGACCATATTATATCAAGACAAGAATATAAGCTATTACTTCACATTTTTGATTTTAATGATGATAATTATGTGTACTATAAAAATATTAAAGAAATAATTTTAAGATTAAGGTAATAAAAAAAAACTAGTAAAGTTCTTTTATATACATCTTAAAAAAAAAAAAAAAATATGCTTTGTTCTTTTTATAACCTCTTTTTTTTATTTTTTGTTATTATTTTATAACTTTTAATTATATCTTTTCTATTCTACCATTCCAGTTTTATTACTTTTCATTTAATGATTAATTCTTTTTTTTTTTCTATTAAATTATAATTCCTAAAATATTTTGTTTTATTTCATTAATACAAATTACAATTTTCCTTTAAATACAATTTTTATTTATATTCACAAATACTATTTCATAGATTTGAAGGAATAAAAAATAGCATATTTGAGAGAGATAAAAAGTTACTTCAAAAATATTTATGTGAAGAGTTGATAAAAAATAACTTAAAAAATAAGAAAAAGATACATATATTTGAATGCAAAAATATTTTAGATTTTTGTGATAAAATTTATTTAAATAAAAATATTATTCATATAATATTGTCTTCTCTAAATTTTGATGAAAATTTAGAATTAGATGTCACTTTCTTTTTACAAGTTTCTGTTACAATAATTACTAATAGTATTAAATTAGAAAATATGCATATGATTTATAATATGATAACTGATGAAAAAGAAAAAAAAGAAGTTCAAAATAAAGAATCAAATCTTTACAAGAGAAAAAAAGATAATAAAAAAATTGAAAAGGTAAAAAAAAAAAAAATAATAATAATAACAATATAATATAAAGCAAAAGGAAAAAATTATAAGGAAAAAAAAAATATTGGAAAATTATTGTTTTTTAAAATAAATTTTATTTTATTTTATTTTTATTTTTTTTTTTTTTTTGTAGGCCAATATACCAGCATTAGAATTAGTTGAAAGAACATTAACAAAATTATTTAAAGTACTAGATGAAAAAAATGAAAGTAAAGAAAAAAAATAAAAAATAAATAGAAAAATAAAATTATGATATTATTAAAAAAAAAGACTATATTAATAATGTATATGTATAAAATGTTTTTATATTTTTTTTTTTTTAAACTTTAGATTATTTAAATATAAATGAATTCATTGAAACATTGTTAGAATCAAATAAAAAAAAAAAGATTATTGATATAAAAGAAATATGTAAATTAAGTAAAAACGAGTTGCAAGGTTTCGTAGCAGAAATAGATGTTGGTTCAAAGAAAGATATTTGTAAAAAAAACATAAAAGATAATGAGAATTTCCAGTTGTTCAAAAATAGAAAAATTCATTATGAATCTCATATACATAAATGGTGCTCAAAAACATATCAAATAAGGTATCATTTAAATGTCTAAATATATATATATATATATATATATATATATATATATATATATATATATATATATATATATATATATATGTATAAATATATATATATATATGTATAATAATATTTTAATCTTAATAATTTTATTATTAAAGAAAATTCCCAAAATAATTAAAAGAAACAGTTAGGATGATAATATACAAAACACATCCTTACTAAAATAATAAAAAAAAAATTCTATATCTTATTTAATAATAATTATACAAAAATACTTTTTTTTTTTTTTTTTTTTTTTTTTTTTT